ACACACACACACACACACACACACACACACACACACACACACACACACACACACACACACACACACACACTTTGTACTCAAACTCTGGTCTTTGGGTCTATGAAATGTGACTGTCAAGCCACCCAATAACCACAATCATGAGCATATTGTGCTTTAGCTTTCACTTTTGTTACGTTTTTTTAAAGAGGCAGGGACTCAGTTGTGTTTGTCTACAAATCAACCTGTCTTTCACAAAAATATATTGAGATCTACAAAAGAATGAGATGGCAAGCCAACATCTTAAAATGGAGTAAGAACATGACAATCAGGCTTGTTTAACAACAGCACTTTGTTAGTTAATGTTCTGCATCCGGTCAAAACGACTATTAATGGAGCTTGAGACACAAGGGCAACTGTTAGGCAATGGAAGATAAGACAAATAGAATTGTTGCCTGTCTTTCTATGAGGCCTGCACAAAACATATAACCCCAAGTTACAATCACAGCTCATGAGCTTTCTGACCCAAGCACAACTCCATTTCCTGTTGCAAGCAGATGGCAAGGTTTATTCTCTCTCATAGGACTTTTGGAACCGGGGCAAAATCTAGCGATCACTAATGGGAACCTGATGGGACGCAAAGTTCAGTAAGGCCAAATAGCATGGCACTGGTCCTTACTCATGACGATATATTTTGACCGAAATATCCCTGGTATGTATATATATATATATATATATATATTATAATTATGCTGCATTAACGGCAAATATCAGCATTAAATGTCATTCATTTTTGATTAAGGTGACCACACAACACTGTCCTCCATACTGTCTTGGAATGGCTACTTATGAGTCAAAAACAAATAGGTTAAAATATATGCACATACCCATTATATAAACAGAACTGTGAAAAATGTGTTTACAGCATATAGTACAAGACCATAAAAGTAATGTATTGATACACCATGTGTTAAAAGGCAAACTTTAGTTTAAATGAGATTGTCATTCCATGTGTTGGTTATCCCACATTCACAATGTAAACACATGGGTGATATATGGTAATGTTTTACAGATCCTGTTTCTCAAAATAACTCTGCTAAATCTTGTTTGTTTTTAAATCCCACACATCCTAATCTCTTTGTATAACAGAATTGGGCATGTGATACCATTCGAAGCTTTAACTATAGCACAAAGAAATAGGAGACAGAGATATGCATCACTGCCTCTGCAGTGTAGTCAACATGAACGCCCCAACAAGCTAAAACACTCAGTATCTTGGTGGAAAACACCACCAGCGGCACTGCAGTGTTTTCCACAGCATTGGTACTGCACCAAAGTCAAGAGCTTCTCCTCCATATTCCATTTCAGCTCAAATCCACCTCTTGTTTTGCCCCTCCTTTATATGACATTTAACACAGAAAACACAGGCACTCCACTGAACTAACTTGGGTAATTGTGACAGGTATCCATCCACGCATTTCACTGTTAGTCTAACTATACAGGCTCTTACTGATAAATACAGAAAGCCTGTCTGGGAATTTCGGAGAACTGTTCTTTAAATAGTCCTACAAAGCACACACATGTTCTTTGTGAGTTTAGTTCTAATAACCTAACCTATGCTTACTTTATAGACAGGCCACACATCCATTTTACTTTAGTGCTGGAACAGACCAGCAAATGGACAAGACATAGAGCTCATGATGAAATTTATGACGCTGGGCACACTTAACTGGAAAAGCAGGTAGGTTAGTATAGCTGTATATCAATCGCCAAATAACGAGTGCAACTGTGACAAGCAACAATATGTAAACATCTGGGTGTTATATCACACTCCTCTGACAATGCAATGATAATTAGTGTCAATGGTATTACACGTGTTCCAAGGGGCTAATACTGAAAGTAACGAACACATTTGAGCCAAACATTACTGTAGAACTAACTGAAGATGGGCAGTGTAAGTTAATACATGTTTGCTTCCAAGAAAAGCCTAAAAAAACACATGCTAGTCTATTAGTATCCATGTATACATATTGTATCAATGTATGCACCACTAGTTGCTTAGTCAACACATTATAATCTTGTCCTAAAGTGTAAACACTTAAAATGCCAGGCCTATCACATATGGCGACGTATTTAAAACAAGAGAGAACGTGTAGAAACAACTGAACAACTAACGTTACACCAAACTGAAAAACACACTTTTCAAACCACAATATCAGCATAACACAGCTACGCATACCCATAGAAAGCCTGCATTCAAAGAGAGCAGCACAATAAAAATGTATGTCTATTTTCAGTCAAAACAGACTTATATACACATATACGTAACATGTAGCACATAATAAAAGTTAACAGTCCTAAGTAAATGAAGAAATTGCAAGTTGACCTTTGTCGCACAAACATCAAGCAGAGTTTACCATGGGGGCAGCAAGTCAGTTTGTTGTTGTTAACGCGTGAACTATGCAGGAACATCAAAATGAGACTTACCTCTGACTGAATTTTTCACGGATTCAAATAGATTTAGAATCTTAATTATTTAGTCAACGCCGCGATGTTTTCGCCCGATGCTGGATGGTCCCATTTGTCGCCGTCGGTTTAGTAAAGACTGGCCCGGAGACATCCGCATAAACTCACGACAACCATCGCAGCTCGAAAGCAGCTCACTGGAATCGAGGCTAGCGATAGCTTGTTAAAACCATGTAGACAAACAAACAGACGTCCAACGGAAGAAAAAAAACTAAAATATCCACGAAAAGTCGTTTACAGCGTAGCTATTTCGTCGTCCCCGCATACTACGAACCTTTAACACTCCATTTGTGCTCTGGTAGTCTTGCTTGGGTGAACGTAAACCATCAAAAGATCATATTTTGTTTCGATGTAATCCTCTCCGCCAACCCATTCGAGCGGTTTTCAAGCGGCCTTTGACTTCACAGTATGGACGCTAGGGACAGAAACGCTGGTGAATGAAACGAGCGATCTGATTGGCCACGGTGCAGTGGGCGGATCCCGTTTCCGCACTAGATGAAACTGACGCCATTTTGGCTCTACTCAGCATCCTGCTCTCGCTTCAAAACAACACAAGCAGGGCTCCAACGTGGCTGACCGCAGTCCACAGTTTCACACGCAGGACAGGAGCCCACACTCCATTATATAGTAGGATATTAGAGAAGGAAATGGAGTACAGAGCCATTGGATGCACTCGTTTTCCACATTTCTAGGAACCTTGAACTGTCTTTTTCTCGATATGTGGTTTGTGTTGTGATTCGATTGTTCCCAGGCTTTCTCATATGCAAATGTTGGTACACTTTTTAAGCATTTTTAAGCTGCAAACTAAGGCCCTCGCTCAAACAATACATTTCACAACAGTGATCAGTATTTATTTTCGACCTTGATGAAATGTAAAGGGCCGAGAGTGACAAGTAACTTTACTCAAGGACTTTTAAGTACCATGTTGACTTTACTTGAGTATTAATAATGGTAATAATTATATTACGTATTACATTTTTATTTATTTTACAATTTAAGTGAGCATGCCTTTTATATACAAAATAAGTTATATGGTGTAATGCTAAACTACCCAGTTAGCATCTAGCATTTTGTCCATAATACATTTAGGATTTGAATATGCTATTTTAAGACGGTTGTATTGTTACTTTTTAGTATGTGATCTGAGTAATTATTCCACCAATGAATAAAAAGTATGTTTTTTTTTCAATGATGTGGGTCAGACCTTTTACACGGCGTGCGGGTCAGAGTGGAGAACAGATGGCAAGAAAGCGGGGCGTGCTTGTGAACTAACATGACGCACCCATTGGGGTCGAAATGAAACGGGAGGTAATGAAACGAAGGCTCCCATTGGCTCAAGGAAAAGTTCCATATTCTTATTGGTGTTTGTAACATGTCATTTAAAATGACCTGTACACGTCGCTTCTTACGACATTGCTAAGATATGAGGGGCAGCAATTTCCTTGTTTTATCTCTCAAATAAAGACACCACCAGCTGATTTCACATGAGGAAATATTTCTTAAAATCTATTTCTGAGGTGTTTTTCTTTAAAATAAAACAGCAGATAATTGACCCTACTTGGCACTTGTTCCATGATCTCAAACTATGTGACCACTTGGATACGTTTCATTTCACAACTGACAGCATTTAGCAATGTCTGTATTATTATTTGTGCTAAAGAATGCTGAATCCAGAATTTACTCAATTGACTAATAGCGCCCTCTGCTGGAATATTGCTGTAGTGTCTACCTACGTTTAGTACTTCATGGACTACCTGTTTTTAAGGGTTTCAGAGAATATTCTGAACTGATCACACAATAATTTGATGGGGAGAAATACAATTGTAATCACTAATAGTTTTTCCTTCTATTTTCTTGACAGATAATAAAAAGGATATTTCTGTTTTGTTTGTTTTTTATATTTATTTGTTTTAGTTTACTCTCTTTTAAATATATATTTGGTATAGTTGTATAAAATATGTGTCCCACACAGGTCATTGTATGTTTGTGTTTTATTATGTGTATTTATGTGCTTGTGTGATTTGAAGAAGGGAGTTGTTACATTACATTTTTGGTCTGCTGTGTTTTATGCGTATTTTTACTTTCTTAATAACATTAGACACGGATATCATTATCCAATAACACATGTTATACAACACGAGACAAACCCTGGACCCAAGGTGGCTCTATATTGTGTACTAAATGTATAAACTCAAACTAAATAGGCATATATCTTGGCTGCGTAGTCAGTATGCGTCCACTTGTGGGGTATAAATGCAGATTTAACATCGCTACATTGCACAGAGTCAATATTATATTTAAAAATGTGGGCATAATTTTAAAACAGTAGAAATGTAGGTAAAGTTAACCAACTAACTGAAATCTTACGTGAGACTGGAGTCGCACAACCTCTGCGTAAAGGTCTGCGCAGCGGGAAGGTCCTTGAAGAACAACAAGAAAGGTTGGAGTTTAAAGTTCGAGGCAAACATTTTTGGAAAGGCTATAGTTATTAAATATTCAGCACATATTAAACATAATCCTTACACAATTGGTACTTAGGTACAGCAAAAATAATTGAATTAACTGTAAATACATGTTTTTTATTTATTTATTTTCAGTCCACAGGAAGTCCGGAGAGGATGGTTGCAGTGTTGATATGGAGCTGACATCTTTGCTCGGCTGCACTGTTGGATAACCTAGCAAGCTAGCGCTAAACGGATTTAACAGAGGGTAAATAGATGTGTTAACTCACAAATTGAGCTTTATAGAAAACGACAGGCTATGGCATTGACATTTTTCAGATAATAAACCACTTCCAGGGATAAAATGTCGGCGTTGCTGTTGCAGCATCGTAGTGGTTTTTGTAGAAAATACAGTACAGGGTTATTGTGGACACTGTCAAGGCGAAACTCTCACCTACTATCACACAAGCCTTCATCCAGCAATAGTGTTCAAAATGTGCTGCTCAGGTGTGCTAATGTCAGAAAGGTACTTCTTTCAAAATCGAATCGGACACTTACAAGTGAACCACAGAAACTCATTCAGGTAAGTCAATAACACTTCTCAATATGTTTGCTTGTGTAACTGGTAACATGTTGATGTGAATACAATGTGGAGAGACAAACCAATAACGCTCATCAGATGTGTGGAACAGGTAGCCCTTATTGAGAATCTTCACCTTGAATGTTCACTATGGAGAGAAATTAATACGATTCTGCATTCTTTAGCAGAATTTGAAAAATTCAATTCTTAGTGATTTTTATTAACAATATCTATTGTTGCTGTCTCCCTGTGCCTTAAATAAGATTATTGGCTACAATAAATCTAATTCCAAGTATGTTTCTCAGTCTGTAGCCACACTTATTTTAAAGGTCCCCTATTATGCTGTTTTTCATCAATATACTATAGGTCTCAGATATATGGGGCATTCTACCGAATTAGTACAAAGTGCGGTCCCACAACAAGAAAAACAATTTAACAAAACAATTAAAGGTGGGGTAGGTAATTTTGGAGAAACCAGCTCGAGTGCGCTAGAATTTGAAAATACACAGCCGGAAAAAATCTGCCACTTCCTTACAGAGCCCCTCCTCCAACACACACGAACGCGCACATGACCAATGAGGGCACGAGTTAAGTTTGTGCACAGATGGAAGGCTGACAGGCAGGTAGGCCATCCAGTTATTTTAGCCGGGCCGGTGTATTTTGAAGATCTTTGATTACATTCAAACAGAAGTTGGAATATTCAGATTTATTGTGGGTTTAATTTTTTAATAAAAAAATCATGTTTTCATGTCACTATCGAAACACAAGGGGTTTTAGTCCAATGGCTGAGCCTGGTTTTTAGCCACACCCCTGCATGTTTGACTAGGCAGTGAAACTGCATCCTTATCCCTCATTGCTGAATGGCAAGTAGCTATATCCCATACTTTTGATATAAATCTGTTCCAAAATCTGAAAATCGGCGTGTAACCTTAAGAATTGTCACTACCGAACACATATTATCTTCAATTAAGTAAACTTTTTCGGAGTTTTATCATGCAAAGTATTGTGTAATATATGTGTATGCTAGGCATGTACTTGCTAGCATGCTTTAGTTATGCTCAATTTTAGCTAGAATCGTCACTAACGAAACATTCACTACCGAAACATATGGTTAAGTTTCGGTAATTGAC